ACACACACACACACACACACACACCTATACACATACACATACACACACACACATACACACACGCACACATACACACATTAATCGGCATCCTCAACACAGACTGAGACGCCCTTGGACTGCTGCAGGCGAGGTGAGTGGGTAAATATTTGCAACCTCCTTCTATGTGTGCATGATTGTGTGTGTGTGTGTGTGAGTGTGTTTATACTGTGTGAGAGTTTTTCTGAGTTGTGTCTTTTTCATCCTGTGTGTTTTTGTGTGTGATTGTTTGCATGTCTGCATGTGCTGGTTTGCCTCTGGTCTCTGCTCTTTGTGTACAATGTGTGTGTGCATCTAAGTGTGCACGCGCGCGCGTGTGTGTGTTTATGAGGCACACCAGAGCCAATAAGACTTGTGCTTTGCACCAGACCAAAACAAATCCACAAAATAATGCTGACTCTCTTTCAGAGGAGTGTGTGTGTTTTTGTGCAGGCATGCATGTGTGCGTGTGTTTGTGTGTGAGATCCTGGAGAGGCCCGAGTCTGTCTGGAAACTTGTCAGCTGTTGGGAGATGTGTGTGCGTGTGTGTAAACTGGTGAGGTAGAGGCTAATATTCGTGCCAGTGCTACTTGTCAAAGTGTAGTTTTTTCTCTCTCTTGTGGCTCTAAACTGCTGTAGAGAATTAGAAGAACAAAATCTCCCCACGTCTTGCCTGTTGCATTTCCCTCACAAAAGGTCCTCCTAATAGTTTAGGAAAGTTACATTTAGGTCATTATTAAAGTAACGCTTTAGAAAGTAAGTCACATGTCCAGGCTTTTTGCTGTGTCAGCCTTTAAAACGCCTAAAAAGCACAGACTTGATGGTTTTGCCATTAAAAAAAATGCAGATGAAGAGGTTTGGAATAGTTCATTGTTTAAACTCATAACACCTAACAAACTGCCACTGATCTATTAAATGTTAGGTTTAGACAATGTCTACAGTTTTTTTTAACCTATTGGCCATGCACTTAAAGAAAAATACACAGTAGGGTGATATTTTGTAATTTCTGAAAATATGCTTTCTTTGTGTAACTATAAAATACAAGTCACCATTGTTGATGATCTTAGCACAAGTTTCCAAATTTAACCAAAAACCAAATTTTTTAGAAAATTTAAATGACTTTTGTTGGGAAGAATTATTACTTTGTTGGTCCTCTGATTGCTGAGCGTATTCAAAAACAAAGGCAACTCATTGACTGAGTAGATGACTTATATTTCTAAAAGCTACTGCAGGAGGCCTGGGTTTGAGTTCTGCCCTCTCTCCCCCTTTTCCTGTCTATTCTACTATTCTGTCCAAAATAAAAGTGAAACTGTCCACAAAGAATGACATATTCTGGTGGGGTCATTATCAGAATACAGTTCAAATAGATGAAAGAGGTCTGTAACCAGCCAGCTCCACAGTACAAAGGTTCACGTTACAATAAATTGGACTGAGCTCATAGAGAAACAGAGTTAATTGTCTAGTGAATTCACAGTTTGGAGTGTCGTGCTTCCGGCACGCTGTAAGCAGGCTCCACCCTTGCAACCAAAACAAGTATTGCGAGTAGAGCAAATGTGTCTGAAGTAGACCGCTCCCTGCTGTGAACCACATGCAGAAGGGCAACTTCAGACAGCCTGATTGGTTGGCTGTTATCCACAGTTCTGTATGTGTTTATATATAAATACATGAATGAGCTGCTGATTAGCATTACCCAATCAATTGTTGAGTTCCCTTAATAAGGTAATATGCTGGCTTTTCACAGATTGTAACTGCTCACAATAACAACAGAATTCACCTTTAGTTCGTGAACAAAGCACTGTTGCGCTTCACCAATGTGATTATCAATCCACACAGATTTAGTCCAAGTGGTCAAAGTGGATTACTGATTGGTTCGAGCACATTCAAAAAACCTGCTTCTTTTCACTGTGAGTGAGTCTAATAAAGATGAATTGAGCGTGGTCCTTTTTCGGGGTAAGCCAGCTAAGAAAAGTGAATCAATAAATAGGTCAGGGTTCAAGTGTGAGCAATTTAACCCAGTCTCTGTTTGTCCCAGGGGCATCTGAACTCTGCTGACCCATCTTCAACTTCTCAGACTGCCTTGCTTACTCATCCTTTGCGTCTTCCCTCCTCTCTGTTTCTTTTGCTCACTTATCCATCATTGTTGGCTCTCTTGGTGGCTTTTTTCCTTTATGTATACAAGGGAAGGGCCTGGATCCTGTTTCAGCTTTGCATGCACACTTGAGAAAGGAAAAGAGTTTGGCTCAAGGGGTAAAAGGCAGGAGAATGAATCTTCCTGGAGACAAGCAGACATCCCCAA